AGCGTGTGCGTGTGCGTGTGCGTGTGCGTGTGCGTGTGATGGCGTCTGGATGTACCGTTGCATGCGTGTTGACGAGGGGTGTAGCTGGGATTTGTGTGAGTGTGAGTGTGGGTGTGGTTGTGGTTGTGATTGTGAGTGTGGATGTTGATGTGTGTGCGAGTACGCGAATACGTGAGTACGTGCGCGCGTGTTTGAAGACAGCGGTGGCTTGGTTTGGCATGAGTAGTGTGATGCGGTGTGGAGTTGAGAGCATCGATGTGCGGTGGCGCACGAACAAATGTGTATGTATACAGAGGTGTGCGTTTGCGAGTCCGCTTGTTGGCTCGTTGTGTGTACCTTCGTGTGGGGGTGTGTGAGTGAGTGAATTTGCGTCTGATGACGTATGGTTGCGATTGTTGGTATTACAATGCTGTGTTTGCAAGCGGCGAGTGAAGAGAGGTCACGTGTGTGAATGTCAAATGGGTGCGGATGTGTAGTGTGAAGCGGTGTGTATTGGCACGTGCGAGGGTGGTGGTGGTGTTTATCGCTTCTCGGCTCTCTGAGCTAAGATCATGTGTAGTATCTGTTCTTTGCAGTGTAATTTCTGCAACGGTCTCTGAACTGAGACCAATGAAATTACCTGTATTTTTCTCCTCCGGACGGGTGCTGTGAGCTTGCTCAACCCCGTCCACGGGTCGGCCTCGTATTGCATTACCTCGAGGATTGGCCCACTGTCCAAACAACACAATTGTTCCACTGCGTCGGCTCGCGTCGTGTACCACCGCACGGCACGGCACACCACAGCACAGCACAACACAGCACACCACATTGCAGGCACACGCCACACAACTACAGGCCACGACACCCACAGCCTCCCAAGTCAAACAAACACCAACAAATCCATCCCAATTCGCCTACACTCCACTCCACTCCGCTCCACATCACATCAACTGACGTGACCTGCACACACCGTCACGTCCGCAATGACACAGCACTATGCGGCACAAACATTCCCCCATTGCGCCACCTTGGTACCCACCGTCTCATCTCCATCACCGTCAAGTGCCACACACTCGACCGAGCATTCACCACCTTGTCGGCGAATAACGCGCACACTCGACCAACACTCCGTCTCCGTCCGTCTCGCGCGTCACCAACCACCGTGGCGCCTCGCTTACATTCACACATGCCGCATCCACACACGCCTCATCACACAGCTACACATGGTCCGCAATGCACGTCCGTCATTCCATGGCCAATGCGATGAGACGGTCAACTGTATGCGTGATTCACACGCGACCACAAGCGGTCCGGCGATGAGTGTGCAGAAGGGAAGTGGTTACATTGTCTGACGAACGATAAGCAGATGACCAGGTGACAAGCACTTGTAGAGTGTCCTATCGACTGAGATGTGGCCCACCAGCGGTACAGCAGTGGCGTGCATTGGCGCGTCTACTGACCGGTTACATGGCATGCGATGGACGGTGGGTGTGCGTGAGCGTG